TCTTTGAGATGAGAACTGGAGGAAGATTTGTGGTCAAAAGGAGGTGTGATGGTTGTGGTATGTCGAAAGATGCTGGTTTTCTGAAAGAATTTATTTATTCAGAGAAAAGAAACATCTTAATAGAGTGAAAGGCTGGTTTATAAGAATTTACAAAATAAACAGTGAAGAGAAAATTTCAATCATGTATCTTTAAGTAAAATTTAGCTTCACAGGATTAAATGATGTTAATATGAGGGACAGACACATGAAATTCTATTGTTGGTTTCTATTTTTCCTCTGTAGATCCTATTGAACTATAAACCATGAATGTTTGATTCATTATCATCTTCAACCTGACATTTTCAAGACTATCTCTAAATTTCAAAAATATGGTTGCATGTAGTTTCACAATAAAAAAATACCCAATGTTATTAAATATCAATTATAGAAGTATCTTCTCACCAATGCACTGAGGTGGTTGGGTCCACGTTCCCCTAATGCATGTAACTGAGCTGTGACCAATCATTGTAAAGCCTTCTCCGCAAGTGAACTCTACTGACTCTCCATGGTGATAGGAGGGCCGTGCTGGGGACACGACCTCGCCGTGGTCCAGCTCAGGTACGTCTCCACATGTACTGTCCTCCTCTGTGAAAATCCCACAAACAAACATTCAACTTTAAAATGTAAGTGAGGTCTTGATATGAACAGAAACACAAAGTGTTGACGTAAGTCTAACTACTGAAAGTTTGGATACATTACCAACACACACGGGCAAGGGTGTCCACTCTCCATCAACGCACTGAATTTTCCTCGCACCCTTCATCAGGAACCTGGGGTTGCACACATACTCCACCACCTCACCGTGTTCATATTCCCCTTTAGGTGTGTCTGCCACTGTCCCGTTGGGGAGTCGAGGAGGTTTGTCACAGGACTGTACTTTCTCTACGGTAGAAACACTGTATAACTAAAGGTTAAAGTGTCTCTTGTACAACTGAAAATCCAGTAAAATGAAGTGATTTTTTTCTTTAATCTATTACTTATTATCTAACTTAT